CACCGTCATCCCCAGATACCTACCTACAGACGATCAATACGCACCGTATATATATATACATTTGGTTCATAGATTATTGATCAGGTTAAATATAAAGTGTGTAACTTCACAGTTTTCTCTCTTAGAACAATTCTATGTGTATATATACGCATGTATATAGTATATTGTATATATATACACACAATATTGTGTGTATATATATATATATGCTAATGTATATACAGTATATACACACACACATTAGCATATATTGTATATATATATGTCAGTGGCGGGTCGTGCATGTTATACCTGGGCCTTCTGTGCTGTCCTACTACAGATGAATCACCTCCTAATAACCTCATGATGACACATCAATCCAGCAACACTGCAGCGGATCCACGCATTCCACCACACAAGAGCACGAGCCATTCAAATAGTATTCATGAAAACGACCCGATAGACAAATGAACAGTAGTAACGTTACTATGTAAACAAACAAACGCAGTTTGTCTTTTACCGAATGCTGTTCACTTAAAGACAAACTCCATCCTCCTTTCTTTGTTCAAGAGTTTAATCCCAGTACATCGTCTCAGTTCCAGTAAGAAGTCTTTCTGTATTCATGGACGCCAGTGATGACAGTCGAGCCTCCCCAGTTGTATTTCGCCGGTCTGCTGCGGCCGGTTTGCAGCGGGGCCGGGATCCCACCTCCGCCGGCCGGCGCAGACCGCACGCCGGGCCGCGGTTGTGGATCTGTTTCCCTGAGAACGTGTTCGTTGAGTTGTAGATCAACTTGAGTTTTCAAATGCTATGGCGTCCTCAGGTTAGCGTAGCATAGCTCCAAACACCAAGAGCTCAGTTAAAATGAAACACATTCCCAGACATAACATGTGCAACGCTTCTCCGACGCTGTCAGCAAGAAATACCGTTCATACAAATCCTTTTCCTGGCTGAGTCAGGCTGCCAGCTGTGGTTGACTGACCATTTCTTACAATGTCCAGCTTTTCCTGAAATGTCTTTCTTGAGAAAGGCGTTGTCAGTAACTCCACCACTAAATCCGTTTCTCCTCCTTATTCAGCCATTGAGTGTTAAAAAAACAAAGCTAGGTAAAAAAATAAATAAACTACACCAAGCAAAACCCTAAAGATGTTATAACTTCTTCCATATCTTTCTTTTTTTTTAATTCTTTTTTTTATTGATATTAGGCATCAATTAGGCATTTACAATTGTCTTTCAGACAATGTACATTGCATGTGAAGATTTTCAGATGATGCTCATTTTTGTTATACACATATAGAACAAGGACAAAACACAGAAAAAAAACAAAACCAAAACCACAAAGAAAAAAAAATTAGGGAGTGATCTGTTATCTATGGTACATTCATTGATTTATTAAAATAAAATCAGGTCTATGGGGTGTCACGTATGTAACCCATTTTTCCCAATACGACAAAAATTGTTCCAGTTTGTAGTTGACAGATGCTGTTAGCTTCTCCATTTTGTAAATGTCCATTGTAATGTCATCCATGTGTTCAGAGCGGGACTCTCTTGTGACAACCATTTCCTGGTGATAGTCTTTTTGCTGGCCACCAGAAGTACATTTATTAAATATTTGTCTCTTTTTGACAGTGTTTTAGGTAAATATCCAAGATACATGGTCCTACTTTCTAGAGGTATTTCACCTTCAAATATCTTTTGTAAGGCCGTGTGTATCCCTCTCCAATAGTCCATGATAACAGGGCAATCCCAGAACATATGGTGATGGTTTCCACATCCTCTCCAGCAAACAGGAGGGTTACTGTCATAGTGGCATTTCTGAGAGGGTGTAATAAAATACCTGATCACATTTTTCCAACCAAACTCTCTCCATGTCTGCAAGCTGGTCCACTTCCATTGAGTTACTGTCCATTCTTCCTCAGATATAGTTATTCCTCCCTCCTGCTCCCATTTAGTTTTAATATAGGAGGTTGAATGTGTTTTAAAGTTCAACAGACATTTATATATACATGAGATGATTTTACTGCCTATATCTGAGTTATAAGCTTTTCTAAACAGTTCTATCAGGTGTGTACTCTTAGTCATGTTTCTCGTCTTCGTATTCACATAATGTCGCATCTACAAGTATCGATAGAAGTCCTGTTTCTCTAGTGAGTGTTTCTCTTTTACAGTTTCAAAACTTAGCAGTGTGCCTCCTTTCATTATGTTGCATATGGCTGTTATTCCTGTCGCTGTCCCATCCCTAAATCTAGCATCACATTTATTTGGTGTGAAGTCAGAATCATATGCACACCATTTAAGTGTTACCATATCTCCCTCTAGTTTGTGTTCTCTTATAATGGTTTTCCGTACTTCAGCCATGTATCAGTAGTGTTTATGTGACTTTGTAGATTGTTATCAGTAGGATTGCCTGTATGGGGGTGGAAGTTATTTTCTCTTCAACGTTTTTCCATTGAGCCTTATACGATGGGTTGCACCAGCCTATCACCGCTCTCATCTGTGCTGCTAGATAGTAATCTCTAAGAGAAGGTAGGCCCCATCCCCCCTGTTCTTTAGGTGGTTGTAAGGTTTTGAGACGGACCCTGGGTCTTTTACCTGTCCAAACATATCTAGATAACATCTTGTCCCATTCATTAAATTGGTTTTGGTTAATCTCTATTGGTAGAGTTTGAAATAGAGACAGTAGTCTGGGCAGTATATTCATTTTAATGGATTCAATCCTTGCCGTGAAACTTTGGAAAGGAGTTGTGTTCCATCTCGCTATGTCTTCCTTCATGTTTCTTATTAGTGGATCATAGTTATAGTCTGCAAGTTGTGTAAGATCTTTTGTGATATTGATGCCCAGATATTTGAAGGATGTTGTTTGCCATGCAAAGGGGTAGTTATGTTCAGTTTCTCTTGGTGGGCTATAGTTATATGAGAGTAACTGGGTTTTGCCCACGTTAATCTTGTACCCTGATAGTTTGCCATACTGCTCAAATGACTGCATCAGTTTAGGTAAAGAGTATGTTGGTTGCCCCAGGTAGACCAAAATGTCATCTGCGTAGCAGGACGATTTGTGTTCCGTCCCTTTAATAGTAATTCCTCTAATATCTTCATTTAAATATAATGCGAAGAGTAGTGGTGACCACGCACAGCCCTGTCTTCTACCTCTTTCTAGATTGAAACGGTTTGATAAATATCCATTGATTTTAATCCTGGCGGTGGGATTGTCGTATAATGCCTGAATAGTTTTGATAATTGTGTCTTGTAGACCAAATCTGTGCAGCACTCTATAAAGAAAAGTCCAGTTAACAGAGTCAAACGCCTTTTCAGCATCTACGCTTATCGCTATTGCTTCGATCTTATTCTTTTGTATATGATCCATAATGTGTAGTGTCCTTCGT